TTCTCAAAAAATATTTGTATACTTTTTTCATTTAATCTTAAGATAAGATTCTACTTTATGCAAATAAAAATAAAAAAGCTGCAATTTTCATGTACACTGCATAAAAATAGCAGGGAAATCCCTACCCATCATGCTTTTCTCTGAGGAAAACCCCCTGGATTTTATACGAAACTGTGTTTAGCTACCTTAAAGGAAATAAAAATTTTCTGTATTTCACTTTCTGGTGTCTAGATACAAGGAGGACAAAATTCCAAACAGTTTGGTGTATACAAAGTTAAATTTGGTCCAGAAATAGCCAAGAAATTGTCAATTTAGTATTACATGTCTTTGACGTTGGTTGACTCCTTAAACAGGACTTTGGAGATAAATTTCAAAACTGTGACTAGCAGCTTACAAATTTTACTTTATTTTATACGATGATTATGACCGAGGAAGTTGAGTATTTGAATATTAATGACATGTTAAAATATAAATTAAAAAGCATCCGAAAAATACAAATTTTTATATTTTACACAAATTTCTGGTTGCAGTATGAACCAAAAAAAAGGGGGGGGGGGGTTACGTCACAGTGTTAAATTGAGAGATTGCCTTAGAAGACCAGACTGTGTCAACATAGCAAAAAATTCATTATGAAATGTGATATAGATGCATATATCCCTTGATTATGATCAATTATATTCAAGGTCACGACCTCATGAAGCTTCCTTTTTGACATGACGTCACACTTTGATGTCACAATGCAAATTCATCATAATGTAAAATAATACATCACAATCCGTCTCGTCATAATATAACATGTAACAAAGCTAAAAACATGTACCTTTTGCATTATACAAGATTAAATGTCAACATGAAGCTTTAATGCATGGTTTCATACATTAAGTAAAGCTAAGATAGCAATATTCTCTGACCTACAGATAGATAAATGAAGGAAAATGTCATTTAGTGTCACTCCTTAAGGGTGCAAAACACAGTTTTATGTATGACGTTATCATGACGTTACTAAATGAGAGACATGCCAAAGTGACCCCCATAAAGAAATAAGATGAAGACTTGCTACATAGACTTCTATACATCAATAGAAAGATAAAATTGTGAATTTTATAAATATATAAATATACTGCATTTATCTCTTACTAATAAGGCGTATTTGACACATGAAACATGGGGGAAATAGGAAAGTTTATGCGTCTAATTGTAGTACACCTATGCATTTTTAGCTCCCTTGATCACAAACGGCGCAGAAATCAGAAAATATAAGTGCTGTGCATTTAACAGAGCAAGTCCTTAGGTTTCTTTTTGTTGTACTTTTAGGGTACATTTTCCAGCTTTTTAAAGAGCTACTTTACCTGCTACTCATATCATGCAATTCTGCACATGTAAAAAATGGGTGATTTTAGAGTTATCTCCCACTATTAAAAAGTCACACAAAAAATAATTCTCAAAAAATATTTGTATACTTTTTTCATTTAATCTTAAGATAAGATTCTACTTTATGCAAATAAAAATAAAAAAGCTGCAATTTTCATGTACACTGCATAAAAATAGCAGGGAAATCCCTACCCATCATGCTTTTCTCTGAGGAAAACCCCCTGGATTTTATACGAAACTGTGTTTAGCTACCTTACATCGGGATCTGGGAGTATCAACAGGAAGCAGAACCATAGAAACAGACCTATTTACATCGGGATCTGGGAGTATCATTAGGAAGCAGAACCATAGAAAATATACATGTATAGACTGATGGTTTCGTACGTATGAACAACAATTTGCAGAAAAAAAAATTGATGAACAAACCAAGGGTACAAGATGCGTTTATTAAAGTCAATTACATGATCTTTTTCTCAGGCCTCCAACTTGAATGACTAAGTGGTTTTAATATTTAATTTTTTTTCATGAACTTATTTCCTGTCGACATTTTAAAAACCTTCGATCAATGTATGTTATGCCTATACAATGTAATGAGTATATTTGCATTTAATTATTAATATTATTATATAGCCTATTTAAATTAATTATTTATCTATTAATTAGACTATTCATAGTTCCTATATTATATATACAAACACAAAATGTTCATAACTTTTTCAACGGTAGCCCTTTTCACAATTTTTAAGTTTTTACGTACTAGGATTTTAACTTAAGAACCTCTGACGACAAATCTGTTAAAGTGTATTAATTTTCTTGAACGAATTCATAGCAGATTAAACTCAGAATTAAATTACTACAACTTTCATGCCTAGCCACGACATTATTATGCTTTATAATCCTTTAAAAAGTGTATGAAAATAAAAATAAAGCTATGTTTTTAACAATCTGTAAACGAAACAAACAATATTTGACAACACATATCGAGTGCCATCGATAGTGAAGCCAGGCAGTTTGAAATCTGATTTCACATTCACAAATCTGGCGTAAAAGTTTTCCATACAAAAATCTTCAGAGAAACTGTCATCGTAAATATTTTTCAGAATATTTCATTTAATTGTGTGACAATATCAGTGAATAGCCTATATAATGCTATCTTTGCGTGCGTAAAAAAGTTCAACGTATATTCTGGTTTTCATCTGTTATATTTTTACATGAATATCGGTTCTAAAATGCTAAGGAGAGAGTAAGAGCTCTTGTTAATTAGCGTCAAAATATAGTAAGACTTTTTTGATGGAAAAATTTAGTCTAGAGAGTAGAGATTGGTACCCTTATCCACCGGAAGGCCAGTGCGCGTGCATCGGCGTTGTGACGTCATAAATGACACCTTAAATAACTTTTTAAATATTGATATTCATTTTTCTAGATTTTTGGCATAACATTTAACTTTTTATGAAATATACATGACATGGATAGAATATTTACTTATAAACAGCGATATTTTATAGTATATAATAAAATAATAACAATTAACTATCAAAATGGTTTGCTATTCCAAAGACTGTTCTTTGTTCTTGGAAAATATTGACATCTAAATTAGAAAAATTATTTTTTAAAACAAATTATGCTTTGTTTATTTTCCCAAAATCTTTACCAACATCCAAAAACAAAACAATACGCTAAAGTAAAAAAGAAACGACAATTAAGTTTCTGCAGAAGATACATTACTGTCTTCATATTTATATAACATTTTCAAGCTTTAACTTAAAAAAAAGAACAGAAAAAATGCTTATCTTCACGTAATTGGGCTGAAACGTTTTTGCGAAGAAATGATTAGATACGATGAGTTTGATTGACATGTCCGATATGTTATAGATTTGAGTTTCAGCTTAGTCTTTAGATCATAGACCTAATTTCTGCTGAAAAAAATCCTATTGTGTGGTGTATAAGTAAATGTGCTGCAAAGCCGAGGTCAATATGGATCTTCTTCTGGTGAACATCAAAGTATAACAATCACCTAAAATGTCCACAATTGTTTAGTATCAAGTCAGGTATTGAAAAAAATAGACATTGTCAGAGGTCTGCATACTGACGACATTTATTGACAAACTTCTGAAACAGAAAGATTCAGATCTCCAAATTACAGGTCATCAAATTGGAGTTTTCTTTTCCTCGTATACAAGATCATTTCCAGTCGGTATACAATGTGCTCAGATGTTCAGATGGCTCCAACTGTTGCAGCCATATATTTGCATTTATATCCATTTAACATTTTTTTCATCTTTTAGCCATGGAAAATGTGGTTTTTAACTTTAATTAAAATACACAGAATACAGTATATAAGCAGATATTTCATATTCATTAATTAACAGGAACTCAACAATCATATGACTCTCATATAGATAGTTTTAAATTTGAGAATATGTACGCACAATATCCGAATTGTATCTGCTTTTAAACTTCGAAAAAGTTTATGAATTAAAAAATTATTCATATAATTTTTTGATTGGTTGTGAATAGATTGCCAAACTTTTGTATACCGTTATATACAACTTGTTCATATGAAATGTTCGTCACTGAAGATAGATCTGTTAATGGTTCAAAATACAAAATATGGTAATGTTGACACAAGAATATCTTTAAAATTAATAAAATAAATAAATAAATGAAAAGCTTACTCCTGTATATGCGCAACATGAATTTTGAAAGAAAATCAGCCTACACAAATAATAAAAAGATTCTTTTTTGCGAAATATTTATTTGATTAAAAATTCGTCCCTGTATTTCGTTTTGATTTCTTCTTTTAAATGTGCTTGATAAATTGTTGCAAATTTAATAAAAATCAAGTTATATTGATTTTCTCAACAAGGGATAAATGTTCAGCGTTGTTTTATATCTAGGTTGCGTTCAAGATCGTAGCGGCTTACTTATCTGCTAAAAGGTAAAATATCTATCTCCATTGAATGGACAGCTATTTAAGCCGCTAAGTCTAGATTTTAAATAAAAATAATAATAAAAAAAAAAAATAAGCGAAAAAAGTGGGGGTTTTTTCTAGCGAAAATGTATACGTAAATGTACATTTTATTAAATTATATGGAGAAAATTATCCTCTTTTTGATAATATATTGTCTGCTGCAACGTTTTAACTAAGGAGGCCATCTTGGATGTGGTACTTAGCATCTGTTTTCAGTTTGTTCGAAAGTCTATTCAGTTTTTATATACAAAAGAGCAGCATTTTAAGGCAAGTCGCTGGCTTATCAACTTCAATTTAAAAAGCTGAGAAGATTGTGTGCAACTTTTTTGACAATAGGTCTACTTTCAACTTCGTATGCTGCCCTAGGCCTGTGACTTGAAATTTATGACTCCCTGACATTTCTCAAGCATTTTCCTCTGTACCAAGCTTATGCCAAGTGACTCAAGCTAAACCTGAAAATGTGTTGAAAGCTGTAGACGACCTTAACATCTATGCATGATTGACTTTAATTAGGTCTAGGGTTTTACATGTAGTTTTTAGACATAATTAACACTTCATTGACTTATGCAAGAAATTTTCAGCTTATCTCGAATGCAATGCAATGATGACAGGGAATGAAGATAAACAGAAGATACAGCGCCTGTAGACGGTCTTCTTTATTAATCTGCATACAAAAGAAAACCAGAAAAACTACTCTCCCAAGCAATTCCGTTTGTCCCATCAGATGTTTGCACCCTAACCCATACACTGTCACCAGCATTGATGTGCAGTACTGCCATCCCTCCCCCGTTAGAACAGTTGGTACTGTCGCCGGTATAATGTCCTGCCATTACGTTCCCCTCAACGACAAGGTCTGTTCGGAGTTCATGTCCCGGGGAACACAGAAGTATTGTGACGTCAAAGACGTACACTCCTGAGATGTTCGGAATAAAGGTCCCAGTAGAATGATGGTAGCAATTTCCGACGTTCGTTAGATCATTCGAAAATATTAAAGCTTGGTGGACTGCGAGATTATGGTTTTCTTTGATACGATTGGCATAAAACGCTATCTTGGGAGAAGCTAGAAAAAGGACAATTGTATGTATATATTTCAATTGTGTGTTACTTCTAATATACCATTTTAGTTGTTTATTTATCTCTAAATTTAGAATAGGTTATGGTGATTTTAGATAAAAAAAATTAAAAAAAAACATTAAATAGTATTGAGTACAGATATATAGCTTTCATTAAATATCAAGTAAATTTTCTCAGTCTATGGCAGCACAACACAGGCAGAAGTGTTTGTTGAAAGCATCTATACAGAATCTTTTTTTAAATACTTTATCGTGCTAGTTATTATTACCAAAGGTACCTACCCGAAGTACTGGAAGATGAAATGTTTGCTGAATTCATTAGTAACCGTTTTGTATTTGACCATTTATGTAACTGAGAGAAAGATTCAATAGAACTAGTTTGGTCTGTCTGTTGACTTCCGCCTTGTATTGGGACTGACTGAGGAGGCACACTCTGTTTCGGTTTTCGGACCACTTCCTGTCGGAGTTGAGTTATTTCTCCTTTCTGGCGTAGGATTTCCGTTTCCTGGAGAAATACTTTTTCTCTCAGAGCACCCAACTCCTGCCGCAGTGCCCGTATGTCATCCACACAATGTCCATTAGATATGCTACCAGAATTTAGCTGTTCCTCCGATTTTATGCAGATAATGAAGAAGAAAAGAATTACAAATGTATAGACCCCCATACCTGATTTTATCCACACAACGACATTGAACTCCTTATGTACGGAATAAGCAGAAATCTTTATTGATAAGAATTGATAAGAATATTTATACAGAGTGAATTCAGTGACATACATAAGATACTATAAGTATAAAATTTTACCTTTCACAAAGCAAATAAAATATTGTAAGTGCACTTTAGTGCAAATAAAATTCGAATTACAAATGTATTTTTGAAATAAAGAATTCCCTCTTCATTGGAATTGTTTGAGAGTATACTAGTACCACAATATTCCGTAGATTGTGATGGCAAATAAATACCACGTCCTTTGGGCTCGGTTTCTATTTGCCGACAAAATCTCTTCATCTGAAGGGAATTTAGAATTTTAGTTGATAATAAAATCTTTGGAATATCAGGGTATATCCTCAAAGAATCCAAACGACGATTTTTTTCATTCTTTCTAACACGGTTTTGGAATCCACCAAAAAGAATTTCAGTATTATAGGTATCAACATTTCTAGGCTTCATAATTGTTCACTATATATATATATATATGCCTGCGAAAACTACAGCACAGGCCAGTAGCAACCGTTTCAAAAGTGGCGGGGCCAACTTTATTATAAAATCTGTCAAAGGTAAAAAAAAGTGCTCGACCCTACAACATCAGAAAGTGTGTGTGGGGGGGGGGGGGGGGGACCAGCATCTTAAGGAAAAATAACTATAGCTTAATACTATACTCAGAAATATACACACACCCCCACTGCCCCCCGTGTTCTACGAGCCTGCAGTAGAACATCTTCAGTGATAACATTACCACCTTCAAACATGGTAACTGAGTCTTCAAATGTTTTTTTTTTTACTTATAAATACCAGACAATAATCTAGCGAAAATAAGATGTCGCGAAAATTAAGGATATACAGTAATTGAAATATGTTTTTTTGTCCCATCAATTTTAAAACCTTGTAACGAGATTCTTTGGAACTGTATTGTATCCATGAGTTGTCGCTATCATCTACTAAATCCTTTTTAAAAAAAACTTTTTTCCATTTATAATAGTTAAAAGTATGTTGCAACACATTGGTTGTATCTATCAAATATGTTAACTTTACTATGATATGGTTTTCTTTTCACTTATATATAATACGTATATTTTAATCTAACTGTTGCCCTTTTACTGTTAGCATTTTTTTTTATTTAAGATTGAAATATAAGACTAAATCAGGTAGATATTAAAATATCTTTTTTATTATTTAAGTACTTCTAAACTGGTGTACCAGAATGAGCCTCTCTCCTTTTCCACAAGTTTTATTTCATATATTCTTCGTTACCTGTAACGCACACATTTTCTATATGTAAATCAAACTTTCCCCTGTTGATAATTTAGTCGGAAATGTTATGTGATCCACTCTAAGATTTATACGATCATGACAAAGTACATTTTGTATAAACTACACGATGCACAAGAAACACTTTATGATAGGAAAGAAGCGGAACTCGCACGGCAATTGTACCCACCAAAGGAAAAGTATTGTAGTTCTTCTATTATCTGAGATCTTTCCTTCATACTACATATTAAATGAACAATGTCCAAAAAGATATTGTTAACTTTGAATGAATATCCCACCTCTGCACCTATTTTGTATTGTATAATGGACTTTTAGCTTGAATACTGTTCGTTATCTCCATATATTTCATATCAATTTATTGATCAATGAATTCTATTTGCTTTGGAAATATTTTTACTTAGAATAAATAATAGTGCATCATGTTGTAAATGTACACTTCAACGGATAATAAGATGTCCACAAATAATGTTCATACATTATATAATAAACAGAAATAGAGACTATGTTCTTTAGCATGAGTAGATACAAAGTGACTCTAAGGACAGTGAAAACTCAGACTTAAAACAGACGGATTTACCAAAACACAATATCTTAACTAGAGTATATTCATTTAGCTCTTTGCAATATTAATATCGATACGAAACTATGTCGTGTAGCACTTCATTTGCAAGCCCAGCATGTCATGAAAATTTGTGTTTGTAAACAGTGCGCATTCTCTTGTGAAGAACCTACGTATTTTCATCTTCCTCTTTGATTTATATATTTACTTATCTTCATTTCATTTTTTCCCCTGTAATTTTTACATTTATTTATAAGGAGGAACTTAGGAATGCAACAAAATACAAAACGACAAAAAAAGTCATAAAAGTGTTATTGTTATTTCATTATTTTGCAAAACATTTTGAAATACAAAAAATCACCGTTAAAAATTTTCGCTATACGTATATAACATTTCAAAAAACTCATTCAGATGCTGTCTGTTATTTCTCTCCATGCGTAGAATGGAACAGGAATAGAAGATACATCACCTTAAGTCAGCTTATTCAATTCATCTGTTTGATGAATATAAAAGATGAAAAAGTTGTCTTTAACAACAGAAAAACTATGGAATGTATTGAAGAATGAGACAATGACCAAAATCTTTTATGCTGGAATGGAAGAAATTCGAGATATTATTTTCAAGATTCAAATGAGACTAATGTTTGAAACAGACTAATTGCAAAAATCATAAATTATTTAGATATTGCTTAGTTTTATGAAATAACAGTTACTTACAATTTGCTAATTACTGCATGTGCAAGTATCTGCCTAGATATGTTTAAATCATGCATGAAACATATGGAGATAAAGAACAGTATACTAGCTCAAAAGTCCATTTAAACAATACAAATCAGTTTTAGAGCGGACCTCTAAAACATATGAAACTTTCTTACTTCTTTGTGTTTATTATAATGCAAATTAAAAAAAAAAACCGCTACAGTTCTACTAAGAACAATGAATCAGTATCTAGTCACATACAAATCGATCCATGTCAGATCAAAGAAAACAAAATGTCCCTGTGGTTCTACAGAACATTTCCTTCTTTATTCCTATGAAAAATTTGGCCCCGAACTTTGGCTCGATCCTTTTTCCTACGAGAGTATGATTTAACCAAACTTGAATAAAAAGAACATAGGGTAGTTAATCGATATGACTAACATGGCATCTTTGTACTTTTTTGTAGACATGCATGTAAAAATTAATACCAAATGTTAGCCCTACCGTGATCTCAGGATCAATGAAGAAGAAAAAGAATCCTCACTACTTAGAAATAATCGCATTTTAATGTAATTATTAACTTGGTCCTGTTACAATTAAAAATACTTATTTCCCGTACATTCCATTGTTAAGCTCTTATCCCCAATTGTGACCCAACTTATCTCCCAGAACCATGATTTGAAAAAAAGCTCAATATGCACTATCGTAGGATACTAATTTATTGAAAAGACTAGTTATGACCCTGCCGTTTTTGGCAAATCAATGTTCAAAGATTTCACTATTATATTCCCATACAAATCTCTAATTCCCTATTGTAAGTAACCAAACCCTAACTCTGTTTTGAATAACCTTGAATGTGCACTTTACAAATTACTTGTATACAATTTTGACTTATCAGGCCTTCGCTGTTCTTGATTAAAAGATTTTTTCCTTGTATTTCAAATACAAATACATTCTCTATTGTCTCATCCTTTGATCGGGGACCAGCATTTGATCAAATTTGAATCTACAATACTTGCATATCAATATGACCAAATATGGCACTGCTGTTCTTTAGAAAAAAAAAAATTAAAGTTTTTTTTTTTATCGCTCATATATTCCTTATTAAAACTCTAATTATACCCGCACTTTCTGAAGAAAGTTCGGGTATATTGTTGTTACTCATGTCTGTCCGTCCGTCCGTCCGTCCGTCTGTCACACTCTTATTTCTCAAACTCCTCTTACATTTTACACAGTAGCCTAATCATCTTTTGGGAGATGGTTGGTGGTGTCATGTAGATGTGCAGTAAAGTTTCGGAATTTTCATTTTCACCCTGGGGGTCAAATGGGGGTCGAAAAATGACATTTTTTATGCAAAAAGCCCCTGGTTCCCTGAACTCCTCTTACATTTTACACAGCAGCCTAATCATCTTTTGGGGGATGGTTAGTGGTGTCCTGCAGATGTGCAGTAAGGTTTCGGAATTTTCATTTTCACCCTGGGGGTCAAATGGGGGTCGAAAAATAACGTTTTTTATGCAAAAAGCCCCTGGTTCCCAGAACTCCTCTTACATTTTACACAGTAGCCTAATCATCTTTTGGGAGATGGTTGGTGGTGTCCTATAGATGTGCAGTAAGGTTTCGGAATTCTTATTTTCCCCCTGGGGGTCAAATGGGGGTCACATTTTTAAAAAAAAATATTTAACATGTTTAAACATCCTGGTTCCCAGAACTTCCCTTATATTTTATGCACTAGCCTTAAATCATGATCATTTGGAAGATGATTGATTTTGTCCTGTGGATGTGTAAAATGGTTTTAAAATTTGCATTTCCATGTGGATAGCAAATAGGGGCAGGAAAAAAATGGCCCCTCCCTAACCCATGGGGTCATGATTTGTACAAACTTGAATCTACACTCTTGGGAATGTTTCCATATTAATCATGCTTTTTTTGTTCTTAAAAAGAAGAATTTTGAAGATTTTTGTTCCTTTTAAATCTCTATAAAACTTTGATCCCTTATTGTGGCCTGACCCTATCCTCGGAGGTCATGATTTGAAAACTAGAAATATGTCCATAGGACATAAATGCCCCGCCGAATGTATATTACTAATGCAACATGAAAATTTGTATGAGTGTATGAAGTTTGATGAGAATATCTTGAACAGTTTCTTTAAAATTGAAACTAAAATCTAAAAAAAATGGATATAGATGATAAATTCTCACAAAATTATGTATAAGTGCATGCTTACATAAAAATATCTTAGATTGTTTCTTTAAAACTAGTAAGCAAAATACAAATTAAAGAGAAGGGAGGTCAAGGTCACAGGAAAGTGCAAGGTGAAAAGTTTTTGATGCAGTTGAATAGCTCTCACTAATACATATCAGCATATTAGGTTTGATAAAAATATCTTGAATGATTTATTTAAAACTGAGCTTAACACT